TGGGGACCAGGATAATTTGAACCTGAAGATTTATAAGGAGACGGTAGAGGGTAACAACGTGCTCCCAAGGAGATAAGTAGGAAGGCTTAGAAATCAGTGTTCCTTGGACAATCTCCCTGGAGTAACTTCCTTCATTATCATCTGCAAACCATTGTGCTCAACAATCCAACAGGCAATATCTAAGCCTCTGGGTTTGAAGTTCTTAGGGGTCGTCAGTTAGCTTCAAGTGCATATAGGGGCCAGGCAGGTAATCTAAAAGAGTGAGCAGGCTAACATTTTTAAAGTATTAGAGTTGCATGCATTAAAAAGAAAATTTTATTTAAAAAATTCTAGTCTCTCTCTCTCATTTATTCATGCAACATTTCTACCTACTATCCCTGGTTTTCCTATGGTTTGTTTCATGATGCTATCTTAAATAATAGTTTTTGGCACTGATACTCCTTGTATACATTTAAATTATATATAAATAAGAGCTAATAACAATGATAATAGTTCAGTTTATTGAGGACATAGTATGTACCAGGAAATGTACTAAGTGCTTTACATATGTTAACTTATTTTGTCCTTTCTGCAATTCTATAATCACCTTACAGGACTGTACCACTATCCCATTGTATAGATGACAGTACTGAGGCACTGGGTAATCAGCTTATCCAACATCACGTAGCAAGTAAGTTATGAATTTGAACAAAGGCACTCCGCCTCAAGGAACCCTGTCCTTAACCATTACACTGCACTCTACAAAGAAGTATGCCATCGGTTAATGGGTTGAATTATGTACCCAAAATGATATGCTGAAGTCCTCACCCTTAGTACCTGTGTGACTGGTATCCTTATAAGAAGAGGAAAATTTGGATGTAGACACAGAGGGAAGACAGCCATGAAAAGATGGAGACAGACTGGCTTCATGCTACCACAAGGCAAGGAATGCCTGGGGCTACCAGAAGCCAGAAGAGGCAAAGCAGAATCCTCCCATGAGCCTCTGAGGGAACATGGTCCTACCAACACCTTGACTTTAGATTTCTAGCCTTTAGAACTGTAAGAGAATAAATTTCTGTTATTTAAAGCCACCTAGTTTGTAATACTTGCTTATGCAGTCAGTCCTAGAAAATTAATGCCATCTCTCATTTATACTAAAATACGTTATCCAATCAACTTGCTATTTTCAATTTTAATACAGATGGTGGCATGAGTAACATTTAAACTTTCCTCTAAATACTGTTTAAAGAAAAACAACAGCCAGGGTTGTTATCGGTTACACCCTATAATCTAAAAGCACAGCCTCCAATCTAATAGAGGCAGCTTCTATTTAGCTCTAGCTGGTTACTTCCACATGAAAGAGCAGGATCAAAGTTGCTCCTTTGGGCCTTAAGTCTTCCAGTCTCCAAGAGAATGCAGAAATCTGGATTTGTGCATTAAATTAGTTAACGACAAATTATATCAGTTACTAGTTAAAATAATACTTGTTAACAAGCAACTGATGCTTTAAAAACAAAACAGCCAGGCATCGTGGCTTGCCCTTGTCATTCCAGTAACTCAGGAGGCTGAGGCGGGAGGATCACTTGAGCCTAGCAGTTCAAGGCTACAGTGAGTTATGTTAAGAGCACTGTACTTCAGCCTGGGTGACAGAGTGAGACCCTATCTCTAAAAATAATAATAATTAAAAACAATAAACATTATGCAGGCTACACAAACATATTTATGAACAAAACTTGTCAAGAGGTCCTGATTTTTACAATCTCTGTTGTATGTTTTCTTTGCTTTCCGTGTGTATAGCCCCTTGCACTTCACTTGACCTGGTCCCACCTGCAGCTATCCATCTCCCAGATGTAGAAAGCAGGTACAGTGCAAGGACTGGGAGCCATGTTGAAATCAGCATCTGAGGATTAGGGAACCCTCTTTGGGAGGTAATGAGTTGGCCGATGCAGCAGAGTCGCACACATTCAGGAATCCAAGACCAAATGGGTGTGCTCTCCTTGATCTGTATCCGCGTATCTGAAGTCTGATGCTACTCGTCTCCCAACAGTTGGTGTCCCATGTAAAAAAGACTTAGAGCTTTAATTGGGTAAAGGTTTTGTGTAAGGCTAGGACATGACTTAATATTTCTCAGGCTGCCACTTCATTCATAGCACTGTCCTTACAATTTCATTGAGTTCCCCAAACTTCTTACTTCGTGTGTGTGTGTGTGTGTGTGTGTGTGTGTGTATACATGCCTGTATATATATACTTGAAGGATTTGTAAGTTGGTATTAATAGTTCATAACTGTCTTTCAGTATTCACCATATTGTAACCTAAAAAAGTTGTCCAGAAACTTGCATACATTTTTGAAAAGCAGTTTTGTAAAAACAGTTTTACAAAATGTCTTTATTCCTCAGGTTTGTTCTAAAACTTCATGTGAATGTTAGTATCAACTCTAGTCCAATAAGCCATATTGCTAGTTAGTAGTCTCATTGGCTACAAACATTTCTTTGATATCTACCAGAGTTCAGACCTATTTGCTATGGTATAGAAATGAATGATTGCTTCTGGCAAGTGAAAACAGGTACTTGATACGTTGCTAGGATACTCTCTACTATACTGAGGTATTAAATGCACAGTGAGGCAGCTTGGACACCATAGTATTTGGAACTTACAAATCTGACCAACATTATTTTTATTAAGTTCATAGAGCAACACTAGGAAGTAAAATACCATAAAATATGTCCAACTCATCTCATTTAATCTTTATTGTTGTTGTTGCTGCTGTGTTTTGCTTGAATTGAACATTTCTGAAATTTCTATTGGTTTTTATACCTATGAAATCATTTGGAAACTCCCTAGATTATTATTCTCACAACAACCCCAAATGGTTGGTAAAGCAGGTTTTATCTCCATATTACAGATGAGGAAACTGAAGCTTGGTGGTGTTAAATAACTTGTTCAAGGTTGTTAGTGAGAGAGGTTGTCTCAGTCTATTTAGTGTTGCTATAAATATGTCAGGATGGGTGATTTATAAAGAAAAAAAGGTTTCTTTGGCTCATGGTTCTGCAGGCTGTACAGGAAACGTATAGTTCCAGCATCTGCTTGGCTTCTGGTGAGGGCCTCAGCCTGTTTCCAATAAAAGCTGGGGGCAAAGGAGAGCCGCATGTGCAGAGATTACATAGCAAGAGGGGAAGCAAGAGGATAGGAAGTACCAGGCTCTTTTTAACAACCACCTTTTGTGGACACTAAGAAAGAAAGGAGGGCACCAAGACATTCATGAGGGACCCAACCCCATGACCCAAACACCTCCCATTAGGTCTCACCTCAAACATGGGAACCAAATTTTAACATGAGATTTGCGGAGTGTATTAGTCTGTTCTCATACTGCTATAAAGAAATACCAGAGACCGAGTAATTTATAAGGAAAAGAAGTTTAATTGATTCACAGTTCCACATGGCTGAAGAGGCCTCAGGAAACTTACAATCATGGCAAAAGGAAGCAGGCACATCTTACATGGCAGCAAGCAGCAAGCAAGAAAAAGCATGAAGAACAAGGAAGGGGAAAGCCCCTTATAAAACCATCAGATCTCGTGAGAATTAACTTACTATCATGAGAACAGCATGAGGGAACTGCCCCCATGATCCAATCACCTCCCACTAGGTCTCTTCTTAGACACGTGGAAATTATGAGGATTACAATTCAAGGTGAGATTTGGGTGGGGACAGAGCCAAACCATACCAGAGGGGACAAACGTCCAAACTATAGAAGAGGTGAAGCCTGTACTCAAACCTCCTAATTCTAAGTTCACTGATGTTACCCCACAAATAAACGCCATGAAGATTTGTAAGACCAGGATGATTAAACAGTCAGACAGCCAGACCTGTAATCAAATCCAATTTCTATTGCCGACTCAACTTTTGACTTCTGGTAAGTTTTTTTAAAACCTCTATAAAGTCCAATTTACTCATTTTTAAAATGGAGTTAAAGTGGAAAACACATGCAAAGAACATGGCACAGAGTGGGTACTTGATAAATGTGACCTCCTTTCTCCTCCCTCTAAGCAAATGTAAAGTAGAAAAACATGTAAAGAACATGGCACAGAGTGGGCACTTGATAAATGTTACCTCCTTTCTCTTCCCTCTAAGCAAACCATTCACTCTCTGGTTAAATGTTTGGGTGATTAGCAGAAACTTAAGTAGCTATTAGAAATGTACCTCATAAGATGTGGAGATATTGATAAAACAACAATAAATTCATTGTCATGGGCAAAGACCATGACAGAAACTGTTGTCACATGTGTACTATTAAAGAATTGCCAAGAAAGGTGTTGTTTTTAAAAATTTTATGATATTGAGCCTTTTTTAAACGGAGGCAGGTCACATCGAAACTTTATGAACTTATTCTCTGCTCTCTTAATTAATGTGGTTCATTGTCTCCAAACATAAAAAATTTTTAAACACATAAAAGAGGTTTGAAATGGTTCCAACCTGTGGCGAGCCTTGGGACTCCTCAGTGTATGTACCTTAGCATCTATCATGTCCCCCTTAGGTCAGAAGCAAAAGAGCCACCAAGATCCTTTGTTTGTCCGTGTCTCAGGAGAAATTCTGACTCCTTTAAAACTCCTCTCTGCTGGCCCAGTTATCCCTTTGGAAGAGGCTAGGGTAGGGGTGCTCATTGATTGACACCAGCAGGAGATGGATCCAAATGCGGGGTGAGGGACTGCACCCCTTGCCGGAGAAGCATAAACTCAGAGAAAAAACAGGTGCTGTAGTCAAGAGGCATGCTTGGGTCTAACATCAGAAAATTATGCAATTATCAAATTTAATGCTAAAAATATTAAAATGCATAACATGACTTAGAACATTTCCTCACATTTGAACTTAATGCTAAGGAACTGTGTGCTAATAACTACTTTATTTGGCTCTTGGCACAATCATGCAGGACTGGGTTTGTGTTATTGCATATGTGGGAAGTTATTAAATGCTTTATACTGATTATGTTAAAGGTCATATTCCTCATACATATAACTTCACTTACCATTATGAGTTAGACAGGTACATGAGTAGACAATGGTCTCCTTCCATTAAATGCAAACTGGCTGAAATTACTATTTAAGTTGCCAGGCTGAATGAGAAAAGAGATTAAATTAATGAGGGTGAAGTTGTATAATCAGTTTATAAAACAGATCATGCTGAGGTCAAGGCTGACATCACCAGCTCCCACACATCTAACTACACTTAAAAAGGTGACTCCCCTTTTTCACCACTACCACTGCTCTAATTCAAGCTGTTTCTTATTTCTCTTTTATTCACATGTAGCTGACAAATCATTTATCTTGGCAAACACCAAGGTGATCATGTCACACATCTCAGAAACCTCTGAAGTCTTCCCATTGCTTGAGGGACAGAGGCCCAACTCCTCAGGAGGGAATTCATGGCTCTCCAAAATTTGGCCCATTCTTCTAATTCAGGGATTTTCAACCCTGGCTGAATATCAGAACCACAAGGGGAGCTTTAAAAAATAAACAGGCTTATGTCCCATGCCCCCTGAAACTCTATTTACTAGTTCTGGGCTAAGATCTAGGGATGTAATATCTTTACAAATATCTATGGACGATTCTTATCTACTGCCAGGGTTAAACCACTGGTCTAATTTCTGCCAACCTATTGTTTTACCCAACGTGAATTAACCCTTCTACTCCAATCTTGGCTCCACCTCCCGAGTTCAAGCAATTCTCTGCCTCAGCCTCCTGAGTATCTGAGATTACAGGTACCCATCACCATGCCTGGCTAATTTTTTTTTATATTTTCAGTAGAGAAGGGGTTTCACCGTCTTGGCCAGGCAGGTCTTGAACTCCTGACCTTGTGATCCACCCACCTTGGCCTCCCAAAGTGCTGGGATTACAAGCGCGAGCCACAGCACCAGGCCCAGTAATGCTTTTTTTCAGTTTGTGTAGCCAGTCCTCTATTCATGCTGTTAATCCAACCTGGAATATCATTTCCTCTCTAGCTCTCTCTTTACAACTTCACTATTCTTCTAAAACTAAGTAAAATCCCACCAGTATCCTTACAACCATGGGAATATAATGATACTGCTATTCCGAGAATCCAAAAGACATTTTTTTATGTTTATGAAGTATTTTATGTCAATTAATCATATATTGTTTTCAATGTGAATGCTTAATATTTTTGCTCCCTATATGTCAGACTTCCCAAGGAAGGCAAACTTTATGTAACATCTTTTGTTTTCATTTCCTAGACTCCAGCATTGACAACAGTATTAAGCATAAAGTAGACACTCATGTGTTCAGTAATTATAATGACTGAATAAATTAAATTCTCTGAAATTTATGAAGCGTTTTTTTCTTACAGCTGGACAACCTCAACCATCAACGTTGAGGGTTGTTTATGTACATACTGATGTGTTTCTTACTAGAAGCATTATTATGCCCATGTAAATGATAATCACGTGTCCACAAAAACTGATGTGATATCAAATATAGGGGTGACACCTATAAATGTGTCTTTTTCCTATAGATAGAAATATATTCCATGTTTATATATTCAATTCCCATAAGTCTGTATAATATCCAAAAGGAGGAAGTAGAGAAATAGTCCCTGATCTGTCAATACATGACTTACAAACAACCCACCCACGTGAAAGGATAGAGAAAACACTGTTTACCAACCTCATCAACTGTGGAAGGATGAACAAGTGTCCCTTGCCCTCAATTTAGATGACATGAGAGTATCATAACCTACAGGTGAAAGTCTCTCATGTATCTACTGAAAACCGAGACGCTTCTGATGGGAGAGTATCCAACACTGTCAGAGCCCCAGCTTGGACCCCCCTACTGTTCAACCTGCCCAGGAAGTTTCTGTCCTGGTTCTAGAGCATGGGACATTTATTTCCATATCCAGAGCTACAATCTCTCCACAAAACAGCATTGTACACTGTGGCTGCCCATAGTGAAAGCAGTACTGGTACTTGTGAGTTAAATAGTCTTGGGAGGGCTGGCTGAGAACCTAACCACTATTTATAACATTGTTTTTATGGAAAAATGTTTTCTGTATTCCAAACAACAGAACTAGACATGAACTTTTGGAATACAGGGTATTTCTTGGGTCAGGAACTGACTGTATCTTGTTAACTGCACTACGGTCAGATTTTCCTAGGATAAGACAGCAACGAGAAGTGCAGAACAAGAATGGTTGCCAAGAACATGACCCATATGTGTTTATAAGGATTAAAGACAGAGGAAACAATGAGAGAAAACGTCAAGCATATTCTTAATTTATTATATAAATATTTACTAAGCATTACTAAAGGCTATGGTGAATGCTGTAGGAGACAAAAATCAGGTAAGATCTTTGATTTGACAGTCCTTATAATCTAGGGTGGGAGAAAAGACAGACATAAACACAAACAATAAAGCTAAATGGTAAAACATGCCACAACAGTGATACAACAAAACATTAGATGACACTGGTAGAGAGAAACAGTTAGTGCCTCTAGCTGGAGTAATCAGAGAACGTGTCATAGAGAGGCTTGCACAGGGTTTCAACGTGCAGAGGAAATAGTTTCAGGGCAGCAGGGGACATCACAGGCAGGAAAACCAGAACAAATCAAGACAGATGCATGAAGAACAATGAGAGTTCAGAGAATAGGAACAGTCCAGTTGGCGCAAGTGGGGTTTGTTTTCAGGACCTTAGTAGGGGGCTCCGAATGACAGGCAAAGGAACTTGGATTCCATCTAAGAGGGAGTTGGATGCCATTAAAGGGTTTTAAAATTACTAAAGTAGTTCTAAATGCAGGTTTATGTAACAATGAACACATGACAGGGGAAGAGAGAATGAATACAGAAATACTATTAGGAGATTACTGTAAGAGTTGAGGGTGATTAAGACGACCTTTCAAAGACTTTTTTATACAAATAGTTAATAAACATTTAAGGTAGTTAATTTTTTTTTCCTTGCATACCTGTGTCTGAGTAAGGTAGTTAAATGTTAATCAACAAAGTATTTCTTTAAATAAGACACATAAATCATACAGAAAAGTTGTATAAAGACTTTCAAAACTAAAAAATATATATATTATCAGCTACAATGGAAAAAAACATTTCAAAAGCATTGTTTGGCACTTAGGACTTTATGACTAGACTTGATACAAATAAGGATGATTTTAAAGTGTTAGTGTCATTTTAAAAAATAACATCATGAGTTTAAAACAGAACATTTTATTTTTATAAGCATGTGAAATTTAATAAGAAATCATCTTTGTACTATTTCCCAAGAGCAATAATTCAATATACAAGGTAACTAGAAGATATGCTGAGAAATTTGAAAGTTGACATGTCCAAGTTAGTGAACTGAATTCTTTGCATTTTAAATAAACCTTAAGCTGGTACCGAGATAGATGTGAGCAGACTTACCCAGTGATTTGACTTAGCAAATGTCTTCTAACCTTAACACTTCAGTACTGGATGGGAAATGGGATTCATTTTTATCTGAAAACAAATGTAGTGGAAATAACGAAATTAAAAGAATTTCCAGGTACCTTATAAGAGCCAATCAGATGATGGCGCCTGAAAGACCATAAAGAGTTATATGACATTCTATAAAAATTTACATTTCTTATACCAGGTATAAGTTAAGAACCTAAACTAAAAATCTCAAACTGGGCTCAAAGACTTCTAACATAGGAGATATATTGCCTTCACATATTTTTATGTCCATCTTCTAAAAATTCTAGAAAATATATTATTAGATATTTAAGCCTGATTTAAACGGAATTATTTAAAATTTAGCTGTATTTGTGCCCTATTCAGTATCATGGGGAACAGGGAGCTATGAAGTTGAATAAGAGTTTTTGTCCTTAAGAAATACCAACCTCAATAAGAGGCAAACGTGGAGAAATGCCAGATGTAGGTGATGGGGAGGAAGGCAGCAAATCACACTGCCATGTGTAGTACCTATGCAACAATCTTGCATGTTCTTCACATGTACCCCAAAACCTAAAATGCAATAAAAAAAAAAAAGAAAGAAAGGGCAGAGAAAGGGCTGAAAGGGGAAAACCGTCTAGATTTTGCCCACTGGTATATTTTCTAGGGCAAATTGTCACCTGAACAGCATCCTTCGATTAAAAATGAAATAACGAAAAGAAAAAAAAAAAAAACTCTGTATCGAGACATACATAAAGTGCTAAAAGCGACATAAGGTGCTATAGGGTTTTCGAACAGGTTAATCACGACAGGGAAAATGTGGGAAGCCTTGCCTTATGGGCTGAATACAAAGAAAGGGAAATGGGGAGGGAAATCGATAAGGACTAGGATTTGGGGCTGAGATTCTACTCTAAGAGGCTGAATGCTAGATTCAGTGCATGGGGCTTTATTTTATATATAAAGAGACATTAAGGATGTTTGGCAGAAAACACATTCAAATTTGTATTTTAAAATATGGCTCTGGTTTTTGAGTATAAGTTAACCATGAGAAAATTCAAAAAGCAGTGAGATCTGTTTTATTACTACAGTAGTCAAGATGAAAAGAAATCAGGGTAACTGCAATAAAAGTGAAAAGTTTAAAATTATCTGAAGATACACTTGAAAGTGAGAACCGGAATAACCAACTAAACAATTATGCAAGACTGAGACCTGAAACCATCATCAACATTCGGTTATAAGGTCACAATAGACCTTTCTTTCCCATCAGAACCATGTATTGTTTACATCAACCGTGAACTTAAGAAATCAACCAATCCAATGGCTCACTTCATTTGTGATAGCCTGTCCTAGAATTTCCGAGCTCCAACGTATAATTAATAAAAAGCCGTATACAAATTTTCTCTAAGGAGGTATAGTTTCAGAATCATCTCTGTAGTCTTGTTTGCTGCACTAAATCAATACAACCATTTGCACATCTCCTAAAAGGTTTATTTTAGAAGGGGCCTTCCACAAAAAGATTGTCATGTGTCAATGAAGTCACCAAAGAAGAGCAAAAGAAGCGAGTGCCCTGTCCTGCTTTTTCAGGGCAGAAGAACTGGTAAGAACTTACCAGTCACTAGTACCTGTGGAATACCTTTCAGAAAGGCAATAAAAGTGAACAAAGATTTCCAATAATTGGAAGATTTTTTTTAAAGGCAAAAATTGGAGTTAACCAATAAATTTTAGTCTTCTAAGAAGCTTGATGATATACTTTGAAAGTGAAGCTGAATCTTTAACAAGGTTTTTGTTGTTGTTTTTCATTTTTAATGCTAGTAAAGAGAAGAAATATAAAGGGAGAACAGTAAATAATGGAACAAATTCAAGAGAAGATGGGAACAAGAACTTTAGTACAGTTAGACATTAAAGAGGAGAAACAGTTGTTTCTCTATGGTTAGAAACAGAGGAAAGGATGGGTGGTGAGCATAAACATTTTGTGTGTAAGGGAGTAACACTGAGGGACTTCAGACACAATGGCAAGACCATCTATTGAGACAGAGGGAGAGGGAAAGGGAGGAGGAGAGAAGGGAGAAAAAGAGATGAAGAGAAAGTATATGAATGAAAACATATTTGAATTTAAGAGTTAAGAGAAAAACACTGCCAGAGAAGAAGAAAACAGAAAAGAGGGGCTTTCGGTATTTAAGATACTGGAACAATTCTGATTGGTATAACTGAGAAAGTTAAAAAACTATGAGTTCTGAGTATCAGAAACTCAAAAATAAGGATTTGGAGAAACAGATTACTGCCACGTGGTGTGGGCTGACATTATTTTCAAGCCCGGTAGTGACATCATAGAAGAATTTGGAGCAGTGTCCTGGAAGTCAAGCAATAACAGGAATTAGAAAAGGGAGACAATAGTAAAAAATTTACAAGAAAAGGAACTAATGAACAAAGGCGGCCTTATAATGAACAGTGCTGAGCCTTGAATTGACAATGGTGAGAAAAGGCACACATCAAACCTCCTTTAAAAGCTAGGATTTTTTAAATGCCATGCTTTTTCTTGAGACAGTTAAAAAAAAAAAATTGTGGTCTTTGCCAGGTTTAAATTTCTATGGAAGAGAAGGGAGAACAGTTATGAAAAAAGATCAAAGCTATAATAACTTGTTCACAATAGTGCATAAGGTCCAAAGGACATAAGGAACTGAAAGTAAGTCAGCAGTGGACTAACCGTGGGTTCCACCTGAACTGGGAAGGCGTGACTGCTTGGAAAAAGAGACCATAATAAGAGTGTTACCTAAGTTGTAGGTGACAAAACACCAACCTTTCTCTCTCTTTTTGGCACATCTGTTTGGTGAGAAAGGGTAACAGACTGGCCACGTGTGTCACTGGTCTCTGACTCTCAGAACTTGCTTGCCCAAACGCACATGCAGTGTCTAGGCACCTACATACTAAACACTGGGCAAGTCAAGTCAATCCAATTTGAAGGGGTAGGAAGACTAGATGCAATGCTAAGTGTACTCTTTTACCTAGTTTCTCCATAAACAAAACTTGACATCTTCATTCTCATCTTAAGTCTACTCAAAGAATTCAGAGGTTAGAATAAAAAGTGACATAATTAATTGGTCCCTTCAAAACTCCAACAACAGGGATGCAAAGTAAATAAACGGAAAGTAGTATGAAGACAACTACATGGGGGGTGGGTTGAGGGGAGAACTCACCAGCTACAGTGGTTTTAAATTTCTAGACACATTCCAAGACTTAATACTGAGACCTAATTCAGTTGATGAATGCCTCTAGAGATGGGGAGATTTCAAATTAAGGAGTCAATATCTCTAACAGATATGGCAGTATTCAGATTTTTACTGCTGAATATAGCAGTATTCAGATTTTTTTGAGTCATTTTTATGTTGGATTTTTCAAGGAATCTGTTTTTCTCATTAAACTGTCAACGTATTGACATAAAATTGTTCATAATATTTTCTTATCCCTTATGTATTTCCTGGATCTCTATTAATGTTTCCTTTTTATTTTTATGTTGTTAATTTGAACTTTCTTTTTTTGTATAGGAGTTTATCAATTTCATTAATGTTTTCAAAGAAACAACTTTTGGTTTTGTTGATTTTCTCTATTTTACGCCTAGTACTGTTCCAGATTTCTGGTTTTTTTGTTTTGTTTTGTTTTTTTACTGATATTCTGCCTATTTGTTCTATCAATTGAGAGAAAAGTGAGAAAGAGAAGTGGTGAGATATCTAACCATATTAGATTTATCTATTTTGCTTTCTGTTCTGTCCATTTTTGCTTCAAGTATTTTATGGCTCTGTTACTAGGCTTGTAGACATTTAGAATCATGTCTCTTTAATTAATTGATTCTTACATATATAATACTGCTAGTATTATTTCATGTTTTGTGTTTATTTTACTGGATATTAATATAGCTCCCTTCAGTTTTCTTAATGATTAGTATCTGCATGATATCTCTTTCAATGCTTTTACTTTTAACCTCTTTGTATATATCTGAAGGGAATATTTTGTAGATAGTATATTTACGTCGTGCTACTTTATCCAGCCTAGTGATCTCTGACTTTAGAATACTTAGATCATTTCAACTTAATGTAATTATTTATATGGTTGGCGTTGAACAAACCATCTTGTTCTTTTCTATTTGTCCCAATCTGTTCTTGTTCCCTTTTCCTTTTATTCTGTCATATTTGAAATTGAATATTTTTAGTTTTCCATTTTATCTCCACTACTGGCCTATTACAAATATACTTGCATCTTTATAGTTTTAGTGATTGCTCTCATCTCTAAAATATGCACATCTAACCTGGCACAACATAACTTCAAATATTATACAACTTCACATATAAAATACAAAAATTTTATAACAAAATTTATCTATTTCTGCCTTCCTGTCTTTTGTGCTACTGTCAGCACAGTCTAACTACTGTAGGACTGTTTACTAGAGAAGCTATATGTAGGTCCTCTGGTTGACAATCCCAGATAAAACTAGGTTTTGGGTTATCCTTGTCAAAGTGCCAGGAATGTGATTACAGCTATCTTCAATCCTCCAGACCCCAATGAGCTCATTCTCGAGTTGAAGGCCACCAAGTGACCTCAGGTGATGCTACATGAACAAGAATACCCACGAGCTGAGGCTGCCCTTTTCTCTGTCTCACAAATTGTGAGGTACAATAAAATGGCTATTGTCTTAAGATGATGTGCTTAGGTAATTTGTTACACAGAATTAGACAACCAGAACAGAATCTAGTACAGGGAAGTTAAATTGTATAATAAAATCTTTAAACACGTGGCATTGGTTTTAGGACCAGATTTGGGCAGAAGCTTAAGTGACTTAAGAAGACTGTTAGTGAAGGCTTGAACAACATTAATGAAAACCTTGTAGAGGACAGAGAAAGAACTCTTCTTATGCAGGAGAAAGTTTGTAACACCGTTCCTTGCATGAAATAGAAAAGACAAAATATATTCCATAAAGTGGTAAATTTGGCTAGGAAGATTTTTAGGCAGAAGGTTGAAACTCGTGGTCTCTTTTGCTACCTATAAGTTATGCCTACACAAAGATAAACTGATGA